GGGCAGCTGGAAGGAAAGCAGCAACGGCGAACAACAGAAATCTATGGGATGACACGAAATGCCTTTGGTTGGACTTACACCAGAGACGTTGTAATTAAATGACATCAAAGAATTGCTAAAAGCAATCAACGTGCCGGCAGTTCAGTGTTCATCAGCCATATTTCACTAATGATGAAATGATTAAAAAAAAAGAAGAGCAATGTTTAATAAATATCAAGGAGACATCTCTCTGCTTGTTTTTTCTCTTTGGCTTTGTAAAGAGGTCCTATGTACTCAAATAGTTTTATAAAATAATATCAAAAATGTCCATTAAAAGCAGCAGTTTTAATTTGCACTACCTAATCATTCCTTCTGAAAATCATTGAGGTAATTATTATATTAGCTTAAAATGATAGGCACAGTACATTTAACATATCATTTAGGTGGTTTAAACAAATATACATACTGCACGAGACTATTCCATGGGCCTCATCTTGATGCATAATATTACCTTAATAAATTCAAGCAGGTTTAACTTTTGATACATTTTACACTATCCTATCATCCCCTTTATTTTGTTTAAACAATTAGTGTTTCTATCATGATCCAGACCTTTTTGTCATGCGCTGTTATTTGAAACATCAACACGATTAAAAGCAGCCCCAAATTAATTGAATTTGCCCGACTGCCTCGTTACGTGAGGCGACTGTTAACGCGATGAGTAAATGAGCATTCTGATATGACAAGTTAAAATGATAAGGTCAGTGCGGCTGAACAAAGAGGAACCATTTCTGTCATTTTACAAAAGACTAGATTACACTCATGTTAAATAAACAACGAATTAGAACAGGGGCAGACTGATTTGCAGTTAGCAGCAAAGCAATTAATCTTACATTGTAAATGTGGGCACAGAATGGGGAAAAAAAATACAATGAGCACTATTGTAAGAGCGGCATTGCTTCATGTCATTGTCATTACAGCACTCGCTCTAATGAAATGTACTGTACTTATTATGAGCTTTGTCTTCCTCTGCCTACCAGCGGATTCTTATTTAGTTTGTCTTAAAATTTCATATCCCAAAATGAAGTAGAGCAATCTGTAAAGTGGATAATTTCATTTGTTTCTTGTGCAGGTTTTTGTGAGAATATCAACACTTAAGTGAGGAAGAGTGGCTTGCAAGCATATTGTCACTCATTTTCAGACACTTAAGAAACACGTGTTTGCTTTAATGTTGAGTCAGCTCGACATTAAAATTCTTATTTCCATGCATTTTTGCAGAACGGCAATTGATTTGGTTTTTTTTATACATATTGTTTAAAACAAATGCATTCCTCTGGAGGATGCATATCTTTACACACTTCTGTGAACAACTGGCATGAAACTGCAAAACTTTTAATATTTCATGGATGGGCATTTTTGTCTGTCGTGATATTTGACTATTTTTAAAAAAAAATGTAAGTGTGTGCATCCATGCATGCACCTAACCTACCCACAAACACACGCACATGCAACCCCTCAACCCCATCTCATCAGCAACCATTCATGTAACCACACACACACACGTGCATGTACACTCATGTGGATATTATCAGCGGTGCTCAGCTGAGGCTCCAGGCCTGTCCGGTTCCCATGGCGTAGCAGTGACCAGGGGAGGAAGAGCTTATCTCTTCCCCAGGCCCCTCCCTCGGCCCCACGCCTTGGCTCTGGGAGCTGGGAGGCAGATGCCATGCAGGACCCCAGTGTGGCACGCTTCTGTGGCCAAAGCATATAGCGTTTAATGCTTAAGGGATGGGCTTTTGAACCAGACAGTCTATCTCATCTGTGTGTTTGTGTGGAAATGTGCGAGCTTGTGCAGGCCACACAGCAGATGGAGGTAAAGGCTTTGAGTATGACCATCTCCCACTGGCCCACCTGGACCCGTTTAGAGCATTTGGTACGCACACACACGCACACACTTTCACGCAGTCTGAAATCAGCTACTTTCTGTATAATAAATGGGACCAAATGAAATCAAGGTGCTGTGTTATCTCTGAAATATTACTTCCTCTAAATTTATAAGGACGTGATTATTGAGATGTCAAATTATGTGACGAGTACAGTAAAGACGATGACTGCAGACATCGAGCGATGCTCTATGAAGGGAACGACGGCACATTTTTGCACTGTTTCTGGAGCCGATTTCACTCAACACCCATTCTCTCACGAGCAGCTGAATGAATAAATCACCTCCTCACATTTGTGGCGTGCTCTCATTGTCACACTGCACCATCACCGCCAATTATGCTGAACTATTTCCTCACTAAACCAGAGAGTATTTACAGGTCTACAAAGAGGAGAACAGGTGTGTTGGAATGCGCAGCTGAAAAACTCCAAATGAGTTTTAAAGAGATGAGGTTAACAGCTTTGAAAAGCTCCTTTCGTCTCACTGAATTATGCTAAGTGTTCACAAAACATTGGTCTAAATATAGGGCCAGAACATGCCGCAGATTAGCTCGCACAGTGATGGGTCTATAAGACGGCGGCACGGAGCTGTCTTCCCTCTTTGACTGGCACAGCTTTGAACCCCACAGCGAAAATTCATTCCACAGTGGGTATATATCTGCAAATGTGTGTCTCTGTATTAGCCTGACAGTGTATCTTGAACCAAGGCTTTTATTTTCCCCCCTGTATTCAGAAGGAATCTTACATTGGGCTGAAACTGTATTCACGTATGACACAGAGTGGACTAAGGTAGAATAAATATGATGCTTCTGTAGATTATTTTAGAGCGCGAGCACCCTCCTTTTGGCCGTTTGAAGGTATTAAAGGAAAAATTCATTTTGGCTCTCCTGGCTAACTATATCGCACGAGCTCAAAAGTGCTGAAAACATTCAACGGTTTGACACGCTCAAGTCCTGTTTCAGCAAAGACACCCGTGCTTTAATATTGGGAGTCTTGCCTTTGATGTGTGATCACACATGCGCATGCCTACCACTCACACACTCACGCAGGCACAATACATTTGCTGAGATAAAGTGACTGCAGTGTATGACCCATTTTGCAGAGGCAGGGCTTTGCTTTTATAATGATGGAGAGTGTGTGTGTGTGTGAACACTTGAGTGTATGAATGCATAACCACTATCTTACAGCAGGATGACGCTGCACAACAGGCTTTTAAATCTTGAAAAGGAAGTGCTAGGCTGGTTTCTTGTGAAAATGCTCCTGTCACACGTCCGATCATAATGCCGTTAGCCATACTTACTACTCTTCCCGCCGGGGGTTTCGGGCAAGCCAGTAGCTTCTGAAAGTACTCACAAATATCAAGAAAAGAGGAAGCATTATTTTCAGGCAAAAAAAATAAAAAATCTTGTGCATGGGGTGCGTTGTGCAATACACTTCATGTTCCCTAAGTGTGGCAACAAGCCTTGAAATCCCTAAGCATGCTTCTCAAGCAGTTAATAATCATTGTTTCATGGTGCTGGAGGAGCAAGCCGGAGATAATGCTCTGTATAGAGATAGCGCACTGCCTTATTTCTGCCGCCTCCTGTTAACACAAGAGACAAATGGAATGGGTGCATCGCCTTGGAGCCATCCAAATGAGGGTGTCTGCTGTGGAGTGAAGTGAAGTGAAGTGAAGGTGGAAGAGGAAGAAAAAAAAAGGGGGGGGGGGGGCGGTGGCAGGCGAAGGGGGGCACAAGTGCCACAAAAATCAGGGAGCGGCTGCTCGACCCTCGCGGCGCATCACGGTTGCAGTCAAGTGAATGTGAAAACAAGAGAAAGCTTTGCGGAATATCGATTTAATGCCGCAGCCTGAGCAGGAGGAAGATGCGTGCTCCAGATTACACGCGCTCTATTTCCCACCCATACAGAATCTCCAGTTCCTTCTGTCTCCACAGAACCAGAGAGGGAGGCTGAGAGGATGCTCTTTTATGTCCCGTTGCCCTCCTTGAAGTCCAGCTGTGTAGAAAATCAATGTAGAAATGAAGAACGGGGCAGAACAACATAAATATGTAAAACATATCACACCGCCTTTGTGTCCATACACGTAGGAGAAAGTAATAGAGGACCTTTGTGCTCTTATAGCATTTTTTGCATCAATTAGCTCCAGGTGTCTTAAATAATAGTTTACTTTTTAGGAAAGTGAGAGTGAAGATTCATTTTGGGGTTTCTGCGGTGTTGAACATCAATGTGGGGCCTTGCTGAACTCTATTTGATCCTATTCTTTTTTCACTTTTTATTATTTGCGTCAGAACATTTGTGGCATTTCAGCCGGAACAGTATTGACTTTGTTAAGTAATGATGAATGAAATTCCTCGTGAATGTGCAGCACTTTGTTATGCAGGAAATTATCCACAAATTTATGCAACTAATTCAGATTACAGGGATACAAATTTGATTCTGTATTGCGCTGCTGTTCTTGCATCTGGTGGGGGTTATATGGATATCACATCAAAATGTGATAAAATCATGAGAAATAAGTGATGTGATATCTGGAAACATCCAGATCCAGTGAAAACAGCTCCCTGTTGGTGACTTTGGCAGTCATGTTGCTTTCTTACCTGTCGTCACTATGAAGACAACTTCGTGTTACATTTTCGCCCTCGGTTAATGTGCTAGTTGACGACCACTCAAAAAAAAAGAAAAAAAGAAAAGAAAGAAAGCTGACGTGTAGGCTCGCCACACATTTTCATACATTCCACTTTTATATAACGACGAAACAGAATGTGTGCGTTTCCCCTCCCTTCTATGACAAAAATCTTAAGAACAATTTGTTACTTATGCGCCCCCCCACCCTCTCTGTCTTCCAACCCCTCCCGCTGAAAATTATGAACACTGAGCCGCACTCACATTCTTGCGCACGGCCAAGCGAGGAGGCGCCTCCGCTCTCGTCCTGGGCCAATGGCGCACGCACTCCCCTTATCATACTTATCCCTGGCTGGCCAATGGGCGCCTCGAACACAGGCTCACATGACGCCTTTCTGTGCGCTCCCTGTCCTCAGCGCTCAATCCCAGCGAGTGCAGGCATCACTGAAGACCTGACACCGGCGGAATCGGACGTTCGCCGTCCTCGGCGGGACGCACCAGGTGTTGTGTTATGCAAACTTCACTGCCATCCGATGACGCTGTCACATCCCGTCGACGAGAATGACCCCTGGCTTTGTCTGAGGAGCACACTTGGCCGTCTCCAAAACGCAGAGTCACAGGGGCAAGACAATAACGCCCAGAAGTTATAGAAATGAATTGTAAGTATCGACAAAATTTTACTTCCCGTCTTCTATTCGCTTTAAAAAAAAATACGATGATAACAATCCTGAAACTATTTTATTTTCTGTTTGTAGCCGACTTTGCTTTTTCTTGATTAAATTTTTGTTGTTTTTAGGATTTGCGATTGCATGTGCCACTTTTGCGCCGTTTTCTTTCTGTCCCTTTCTTTTGGTTTCCAAGCAGAATTAAATACATATTTTTTAAACCACTTCATAGTCTTATTTGACTTTACCTGATACTCGGATGGTGTTTGACTTCGCTTATATTTCTCCTCTTTTGACGTTCTTTGCGCAGTTTGTGAATTTGCTCATTGTGAATGTGGGGCTGTCTCAGTGCAGGGCCATAGCATGAAATATAGATAAATAGCACAGGGTAAACCCGCTGACCCCGGGCAGGCAGGCAGACAGACTGTGCAACCGGTCCGCACGACTCAATGAGGACAATCGGGGGTGAGAGAGGGGAGGGAGAGCAGCAGAAGAAATAAATGGAGTACTTGAAGCGCACTGAAACAGCGCTGCACTTCACTTCAGCCCGCGGGGCAGGATAAGGGTGGATCTTCAGTAACGTGTTTTGTCTGTTCAAATGTGATTAAACAAAGAAAAATTATTTTAAAAAGTACTTAAAAAAAGGTAAATAATTATTGAAGAGGCTTTTTCTACTTAAATTCCAGCAAATTGAATTTCACATTCTGAGGTCACATCACTCATTGAACCCTTTTATTGATTGGAAATTAGGGGTGCTGGGGTCAGGTGGGGTGCAAAATTTATGTACAGGCAGGAGTCAAAGCAAAAAAAAAAAAAAACCCAAAAAGGTGCCTTCAGATTGTTTTTTGTGCTTTACGCCAAGGCAGGGGAAGGGAGGGAGAGAGTAGGGGACCGGGGCCATTTGATGTTTTCAAAAGGTTTCAGATGGCTTTAATTAGGACCTATAAAAATCTGTCTGCCCCGTTCTCTAAGGTAGCGCTGTGGAGTACCAGAAGGGAGGGGAACTGGCAGAGGAAGAAAAAAAAAGAAAGAAAGAAAGAAAAGCAAACCGACACAGAAAGTCGCTTCAGCAAAGGATCGTCTAATCAAATTTTTATAACCCTCCTCTTCTCTTCTCCCTGCTTCCCTCCCTTGCCTCCCGCCCTCCCTTCCTTGATGCTGGTGGTATGTAGGCAGCCCTCTTTGTCTGGCTGCTGTGTTATCCCCCCCCCCCCCCCCCCTCCATCCCCTACCCTCCACCAACCTCAAACTAACTATTGCCTACAGTTGGTCCGACCCCAGACACCTGAAGGCTAGACATAATGATCAAGAGAAGTTCCAGTCTGTCTGGAGCACAGCCAGCGGTGTTTAGGTTTTCTTCTTTTTCTCCTCCTCCTTTTTTTTCTTCTTCTGCTGGCGCTTCTTTTGCTTGCTCCTCATCCACAATCAGCTCACGCTATGTTTGAGAGTTTGCGTTGGTGTCTGTGTGTGTGTGTGGCTGGAGTTATGTTGGTTTTTTGCTGCTGTCACTGTGTAGCATATATGGATATTGGATTGACTGTGGGTGACTAACGGAGTTGCAGTCTCCGCGCTAAGGAGACATCAAAGACTTTTTCTGTGTTCTATTATATGTGTGTGTGTGTGTGTGTGTGTGTGTGTCTTTAGCTATGCACCTATGTATATAAGGAGCAAGATTTCGGCTATGTTGATTGGTGAACATCCGGAAGTTTAAGTTCAAATAAGTTATATCACCTGGCTCTTTTAAAATTCATTACATCGATTGTGCTCGATCGCTGTTTTTCTGTACCACCCAGAGGAATTCTGATGCAAAGCAAGATTTATTATTAATGAACAGGAACTGGGTCCTTTGATGTTAAAACAACAAACATAACATATAATTTCTGCATGATTATTCTATTTTTACCATCTCAAGGGCTTCAGACGAGGCTGCGAGACGTTGTTCATGGTTTCAGTTCTGTTGACTCGGTTGTCTAGTCACCGAGGTTATGACGAGGTAGCATCTGAAGTCTAGCAACATGAAATGCACAACTCCAATTAGAAGTTGGTGGAAGATATTTCAATATCTCTATATCTTTGACACAGTCATTTATGGAAGTGTCTTCCTTTTGCACGTCTTTGTTTTGTCGATGTGCGGTGGTTAGGGATTATATGGCGCGGCTTATAACTGGATAATGAGCTAGCTCGCTTTATGGAAAATGGCTGGTTGAAGTCTTTGTTGGGCATCAGTGGAGATTGTGGTTGAATGCGGCACTTTTGAGTTGTTTTTCCCATTTTTGATGAAGTTGTTTGTGAGAACATTATCCCTTTTAGAAGCTGGACTGGCTCTAAGAGCAATGTAATCTCCCCAAATGTGACATTTTGAGGAGCAAGTGCCTGTAAAATGTACACACAGTTTTCAGCTGAAATCCTGCTACTTGTCTGTGTGTGTGTTTTCTGAAAGCCGACTGTGTATTGTGGAATCAAGAAGATTGAGGTTGCCTCTTCTTTCGCCACCAGCCTTTTTGAAGAGGGAAGTAATAAAAAGCTCAATGGGTGCAACAGGCTGTTCTTCCCGCCCTCGTTTTGAAGCTGTCTACCTGGAGATGAATAGGAGGCCCTTTGTAATGAAAGGGGAGAAGAGAACATTTTATTGAAGGCTCTGGATGCAGGAGGATGCACTATAGCTTGTAGATGGCGCATTTGTGTCAGGTTACACAGTTGTACTGCCCACCAAACAATGATTTATTGACATATGAATAATTATTATTTAAGATTCTTCACGGGGGTACAATTTCCTCGACATATCAACATGATGATCACGACTGATGGAAATCTATTAAGCCCCAAGTAGGTGAAAGGAGTATTATGTAAACATTATCAAATGATTTAGTTAAATCCTGCTTGAGCACCTTACCTGACAATGACGCCGGAGAACCACAAAGCCACAGAGTTTTCGGTAACCACCTTTATGTGTGAAGGAGTGAAGTCACAGTCAAAAATGGCGGAGTCATTCAATTACCGGCGTCCCCTTTCCTGGGAAAAGTCCCGAGTTGTGAAGAGGTTAATTGTTTTCGAATCTCCATCTGAGGGGAGAAAATGGGTGAACGGGAGGGATAATTGAGCTGCTGGTAGTTGAGTGGGTTATGGATTACTGTGCTTTTCTACAGCAGAAAAAGGGAGGCGACCAGGAGGGGAAGGGGGGAGAAAGAAAAGGGAAGGAAGCGGTGTGAAAGGCCCGTGTTATGCGATGCAGCCGCAGGGGTCGTCTGGCCCTTCTTGGGAAGAGGAGAACTTCAATCCTGTTTAACCCGTGAGGTGACCCTTGGCCCCTCGCATACTCCCGCCTGCACCAGGTGCAAGCCCTCACTGCTGGCAGCTCATGCACACACTGCAAACTAATTTTTCACACACTCTGCAAGCACTGGGGGAGAAGCCATATGAAAATGTGGATCCCTTTTCACCTTTCCACCCCCCCAAGCTTCTTTTTCTTCATGCCATTCTATTGTCAGGGGTTAAAGTTACAACCAGGATGGGAGGGGGGTAGCTAGAGCCCATCTTTCTTTCTCCTCTTGTAAAATGTGTTATAACTAAGAAAACGGGAGCCAAGATGATTCGACGTGATGTAATAATAATCACAAGAGTGTTAATCAGAGGGATGTCATGTATAATTACTGCAGTGTTTGATAACACCGCAGCAACCACCTCGGGCCATTAGCGAAAGTTTCCTGTTATTATTAATGGGCGTTAATAAAATACAAGAAAACCAGCATGGAGCAAGCCCTTTGCATGGCCCACTGGTTACAACACTGTAAGGTTAACGAACCAATTTACATACTTCCAGCTACCGTCTGGGTGAAGTGACAAGGCAGACGCTCCCTACTCTGTGCTGTTGCGTTATGATGTTCAATATGGAGGAATGTGTCAAGTCTGAGTCTGTTTCTTGATTGTGAAGTGAAAATTAGTGCTGTAGAATCTGAGGTGGCTGCTTTTGTTGTACGTGTTTAATTTTATTTGAACCCATTTACACATAGCTGAGCAAATGTTGTCAATTGTACCCCCAATCTCTTCCCTTTTGGAGGGGAAAAAACAAAACGGTGTGAGTGGTGTCTTCTTGGCTTCAGGCAATGAGAGTCTTGACAGGGACGAGCCGCAAAAATCACTAAAGATGATGCTGGAGACTGGGAGGAAAAGAGGATTAGTATCTGTCCACCGTTCTACTATTTTCATCTGGGCGATCACATTACAAATAGAGCCTTCTCCAAGCACAGGAACAAAATGAGGTCTGTTGGTGATCAATAAAGCAGTGTGAAAGCAGAGGGATGTTATTAAAAAAAAAGAAATCAAAGGCTCTGGCTGGCATGGCCATCATCTCGACCAGTCTGCTGGAATCAGATAAGGGAATGGGGCCTTGCAGGATGGGATGTTTGGCCCCTGGGCAGCTTGAGATGACGAATATCCCTGCCACCGGCACCCATTGCAGACTGATTCCATCTGCAAATGGGCAAAATCAAAATGTTTTAGGATCTTTCTGGCGTCTCTAAGATATTGTAATTGTGAAAGAAAGGCCGTAGGTAAAGATGAGTAAATAGGGACCCAGTGTTTAATCCCAGTGCTGGATGTTCGGGAGAAACTACGCAGTTATTGCTGTAACTCCGCTATTGTCCTCCATTGGATGATGGCTTTTTACCTCATGCTTCACTTACATGATTTAAAGAATATATAATCACGGCTGTTTTCCGATGACAGTGTGTCAGAGCTGGTGCGAGTGTTCGTCTCAGATTAGCTCTTTGTGCCACGAGGAGAGAGGATAGGCAGGGTGTGGGGTGGCGGAGCGGGGCACAATACCTCCACAATCCCAGTTGAAAGAAATCATTTGCACAATTTTATGAAAGCGGTATTTGTCCGGTTGGATGGTTCTATCAAAGCCCAACAGCCACGGTGGAACGTGATTTTTTAAAAAAAATGACATGGTGAGCTACAAAGCCGGCAACATGTCGGGTTACAGTCATTTCTCA